TATAATCAATCCCATGCATTTCATTACCTCCTTAAGGACAGAAATGTCTGCCTGTGAGAGATGCAAGATCTAAATCTTTGCTGCAGCACAATATGACTTGGTATGAATCTGAGTTTTGTTTTTTTTTCCTCAGTAATAGGTGACCAGGGAAAATTGCCAGAACATCTTTCATATATGCCTACTACCATCAGAACACTCAGTCTGATGCAGATCATTTGTTCATATGTCAGGAAAGTTATTTGTGTGCAATTTACAATAAAATCATTTATCATTCTACCAAATAACCATTTAGAGTGGAAGTTAAAGAACATGTTCTATATTAGAATTAATGTGTCATGTGGTCATTTGTGACTTCACTGAAAGGATATTAAAACAACGTCTCCTACCATACATTAGGATTCAGACACTCGGAGTTATTCTAAATATGTTTGTTCACCAAAAGTTTCACTTAATTTCTGTAGAGCATAAGCATTTAGCAGAGAGTACAAAGAATAAATTCAGTCAATTGAACTAGTTAATACCTAACACAATGTCATTAAAGTCCAATGTCATGCCAAATATCACCACTAGGAGTAATTTATGTTTATTCTGTCTCTGCTGTCTTCGCATCTAAGTACTTACTGAACAATCACCAAACTCCTCAATCATTTCTTAGAAAAATCCTATCCCACTCCCCAAAAAACTGTAGTGGTCTGGAGCTGCCGTCATGATTAGACAGACTGGCAAGAAAACAAAAGCCTTAATCCTCTTCAGAAGCTTCAAGAGACAGCACACCTAGACATAACCTTCTTAGCCATTAAGAAAGTCAGCACCTTAAAATAAGTGCCTCAACTCCTCTGTGCTAAACTATCTGTCCTTTTCCTTACTCCACCATTTAATGGATTAGAATTTTTAATCATTAGTTCTTTCTTCCACAAGTACCTGATGGTGGTTTAAAAGGGTTATTTAAAAGTTTCATTTTCACTGCAAATTTTAATGCAACTGCTTTTTTATTTTTTTATTCTTTAAAATTTGAAGTGTGGGTGGTTACTCTATGAGACAGGAAGGGTCCAGACAGGGGGAAATGTTTAGACACCTATGAACTGCCAAAAGTGTTCAACATTTAGCTAACCCTGGGAAAGCAAGACCATCAGTTTCCACAAACACTCTTAAAAATATCCAAGGAAAAATTATGCTGTATCAAGGTCTTTTCAGGAGTACAGAAGAAGTGACCATCCTTCACACGTGAATGCCTTGATGCCTTTAAGGTCTTCGACAGAAATACAGAATCAACAAGAGTTTACAAATAAAGATTGTTATGGTGGCAATCTTGTTCTATCAGTAATAACAAAGGTAGAGAAAAAAACACCCACACTACAGTTCAGAAATTAGTAGCAGAGAACAGGTGTTGCATCTTATGAACTGAAGAACATGATTTTCTCCAAGCTAAGCAAGCAGCTGAATTTGAGTTCTACAGAAAAACAGGCACATAGCTTTCCTTCAGGGAAAAATACCGTTTATTCAAGAACCCAGTGAAGATTTGAGACAATCATCATGGATCATGAAGAAAATGTTCACAGAATCATAAAAGCATGATGCTCAGAAGCAATCCACTTCTTGTGGAAAGGTAAAGGCCTTCGGGAGCACAGAAAACTGACAGAGTGGTCAGTACAGGCTGTGTTCTTCAGGTTTCAAGTTACCAAGGCTGGAGTACAGCATTTCACCATTGAAATAAAAGGTAGTCCAGCACAGGTATTTATCTTCCATGGTGCCTCTTATGAGTCTTGCTTTCCTTCCTTAGGCTGTGTGCAGCACATTTCTTTTGCATATGCTTTAGGATTTCTTCCATATGCAAATTTCACAGTAAAGTCTTTTGAATTTTCTCCCTTCCCATAAAACACTCCAACTTTTGCCAAAAGCAAAAAATTATCCTATCCTTTTACCCTAGGCAAAACTAGAAAAAAAAAATAGACCTTTTTTATATATAATCATGGTTTCTATATCGACACATGGCATTTCCTTCAAATTATTCTGTATAAGACCACCTTCTTTTGCCAAGTAAAAATACTTCATCCTACAGCAAATGAAACCAAGTTATTTCTTCATAGCATCTGTGTAGCTCAGTATCTGTTTTCTAAATCTGGACCTCTTCCCTTTGCCTCCCTCTCTTATTGGAAGCAGCAGAAAAGATGAACATCTCAATCTCTGACTACCTATATATTTCTTTTTTTCCTTTCTCTGTAGTTGGAGAAGCAGAAGGCAAACTAGTACAGTCATCCTCATACATGACACAGACAAGGTCTTGAGAAGTCATCTAATCCATCCTCCTAAACTGAGTCAAGAGCAATGTACCCTCAGCATTCTTAAAACTGCACCTAACTCAGCTTGTCAGCACAAATTAAATAGACCTTTTGGTTATATACAGCAGTCACTCTCCTGAGGTAATAGACCTTTCCCTCCCACAACTCCAATTAACTTCAAGCCAAAGCAGGGAATTCTTGGGCTAATAGACTCCAGCAGAGATACTGCAGGTACTTGTTCTTAGGGTTAAAAAGAAAGGAACAAAGCAACATGTCAGGAATGGCAGGAAAATTTAAGAGACTGAAGGCCCCTTTGAATCTTTTTTTAATTAATATTTTATATTTTTTTCATATATATATCAAAATAAAAAAGTGAGAGAGATTGGTTCATGCTCTTGGGTACAGAAATCACTGTTGTTACATGCATTGAAAATTGATGTGAGGTTTTTAAGTCACTAATAAGGAAGAATCAATTAAGGTAAATAAAACAATCTGCAGCAAAACTGAGGTGAAAATACTTATTTTCAGGAAGAATGTGAAGGCCTTATCTGCAGAATTATTCTTGCTCAAAGCTCTGTGCAGAGAGCTAGCCACGTCTATAGTTTTCCACAGCCACAAACAGAGTATTTTATTATTAATCCCATAATTTGGCATTATTTTTACTTTAAAGAGTAACTTTATCTGCTTCAGGATAACATGCATACCCTGTCCCACAGCAAAGTCTCAGTGGAATTAGAGCATTGCACAAGCCAAACACTGTGAAAAGTTTCTCACCAACCCAAGCAACAAGATGGAAGTCTCTCTTACAGCTGGCATGCCCAAGAGTTACTGGCAATCTTACTCTGATTAGGTAATAGAAGATTGGGCTGAAAACCAAAACTCTCCCTTATCATGTCCATTACCCAGGATCCTGCAGGTACTCTGCTTTCACTTAAGACTTCTTCCCCTCAATACCAGATAGCTTTACTACACCTAAGAAAAGAAAATGCTTTCCTTTAGATCGTACTGTTCTCCTATCATCCTACTTAATATTATGACTGCCTGTGCCAATTTAAAAGCCAGCTGTCTTTTCAGGAGTTTAGTTGGAGTTTTTCCACTCATTGAAAAAAAAAAAAAAAAAAACAAAAAAAAAACCCAAAAAACAACACAAAAAAACCCAGCACCAACAAAAAAACCCCACCACATTTCTTTTGCCTCTAAGTCTTTCTGAACGCATTTGAAAGAAAATCTTATCAAAAAAAAAAAAAAATCAGTTGTAAATTAGCATATATTTTATGTGGAAGAGCCTTCAACAAGAAAAGTTATGGAATAGTAAGTATCAATGGAAGCATAAGAACATTAAATAGCTGCTTCACATGTAACCAGGTCAACTGAAGATAAAAATGTTTTTTTCCCCTTTCACCTCAGCTAGAGATACTGTTCCCTTTGAAAAGAGATTGCCTTTAACAAGCATGGGAGTAGATAAAATCTTTAGTGTTACGATAACAATGCTTTTTCCATTCAAAGATAACTTGATTATATCTTCAATTACTTCTACATTCTGAGTAAACTAATTTATTCAGTAAGAGATGTACACTTTCAAGAAGCAGTATAAGGCAAGATGAATCTTGCAGTCCTGACTTGGGCAAAACTGGGATAAACTTTAAAGAAGATGGAGTTTTGCAGCTTCAGTCATTAGCAGCAGCAGTACAACAGCAAGACCACCATATTGACATAGTACAAGGAAATAGAAAATTTTCCTTATATCATGACACACTGCACACAGAGTTGTTTTTTGTTTGTTTGTTTGGTTGGTTTTTTTTTTTTTTGTTGTTCCCCTTCAGAGTTTAGAATCCCTTCCAAACAATTTTCAGGATCCAGCCTTCTTCACACCTCTGAGACAGAAAAGGATAGGCACATTTAAAGGCTTTTGTTTCCAATGGTGATTGACAGTTATTACAAATAAAGTAGCAAAAGTCTCACCATATATTCTGTGAGGTCACATAACGTGCATAAAATGCAACCAAGCACCTTAACCAAACAAGGCTGTCCCCCACCTTCTCATATTGTTCTTTTAGTAACAAGTACTGGTCATTTTCTCAGCAGCCTCCTGTAAATGGTTATTTACAACGACCCTGAAACGTTGTCTCTTTGTCGCTGACACAAGGCAGTTCTGACTTGTAATATCGGCCCCATTCTTGAATCAGTAACTAAGTATAGCCCCTCAAGGTTCAGATTTGCGCTGCACAGCCGGCACACAGTTCAGCCGCTGCTGGCAGGCTCCGTGTACCCGCTGTAGGCAGCATCACTGGCAGCTGGAGGGACGCTCACAGATGCCCAAGCGCTTCATAAGCTCTTTAAGATATGAGCAAAAGTGAGGATCCTTAACGGGGAAAAAAAAAAAAAAAAAAAAAAAAAAAAAACCACAACCCTCCTCAGAAGCACTACATAAAATTGATAAAAGGCCGAAGTGCAGGATCGCCAGCACAACGCCGGCACCTGCGGACTCTCCCTCATAGCCCGCAGCGCCGGCGCAGCTGCGGGCCTCCAGCCTCTCTGGCAGGAGACGCTTCCCTCAGCGCACTTACCGCTCCTGATTCGGGGGACACGCCTCCCCAATCCGCCTCACGGCCGGAACGCTGCAGCAGCAAATAAATCCTCCTCCTCCTCCTCCTCCTCCTCCTCCCTAGCTCCTCTTTCTCCTCCCTCCCGCCCCCGTGAGGCGCCCTGCCACCGTCTCACCTCGAGGCGTCAGCCCAGCGCACCGCATCCCCCGGCTCCTCGGCCGTCCCTCCCTTTTCCTCTCTCACGCCCAGCGCTCGCCTCTCGCCCCGACACACTCGCCCGCCTCAGGCCGCCCGGCGCGGGGCGCTGACGGCGCGAGCCTCGCGCTGACGGGCGGGGCTGTGCTGTGCTCCCCCCCGCCACCCTTTTAGCGGGCGCGCGCGCGCGCGGCAGCCCTCCCCATCGGCCTCTGCTCGCGCGGAGGCGGTGCTTGCGCGCGCGCCGGTCAGCGGCCTCAGGCGCTGCCCGGCGCACGCGCCCCCGCTCCCTGGCGCGTGCTGGCGGCGGCGGCGAGCGGGGCCGGGCCCGCGCAGGGGGGGCGGGGCGGGAGCAGCGCCATCCGGGGCTCCGGCGCTCGCTGCCGGCGTGAGGCGGCGGCCGCGGCGCTGCCGGCCCCAGCGGAGCGGGGGCGGGGGGAGCCGCGATGCATCTCCACCAGGTGCTCACCGGCGCCGTCAACCCCGGGGACAACTGCTACTCGGTGGGCAGCGTGGAGGACGTTCCCTTTACGGTAATGGTGGCGGTGCGAGGCGGGGGGCGGCGGGGGAAGGGGAGCGCGTTTTGTAGGCCCGAGGAGAGCGGTGGGAGGGGCTGGAGGGGATTAACCTGCCGGGGCGGGGTGGGGTTGTGGGCGCTTGTACCGGGGGCAGAGCCAAGGCGGGGGTCCCGAACGGGGGCACGTCGCTCGGTGGGGTGTCTCGGGGGCGTCGGTCGCTCCCGGGAGGCGCGAGCCCGCCGCGCCCTCCCGCCCTGCCGGGGGGGGTCTCGCCCCTCGCTTTTGCCGGGGGGCGGCTGCAGGCGGGGGCTGCGGGCCGCGGGGGCTACGGGCCGCGGGGGCTGCCCTCCCCTCGCCTTCGGAGAGGGCTCCCCGCATCCTCCGGGTGCGAGCAGGGAGCCGGGGAAACCCCCAGATCGTGCATCCCCGGATTTTGCTGGGTGCTTTTGTGTGTGTGTGGTGCTTCTGTAAAGAGAAAACAGTCGGTTGCGCTAGGCTTCTTCAGAAGCCTATCCACTGTTGATGAGCGTTTGGCTTCAATTGCTGTTGTTAATAAAACACAAATTTGCCAAATGCTCCTCTTAAACTGGAAGAGAAAAGAAATGGAAAGACATAAACTAAGTAAATTTCAAGAGTCCGGTAGTTTGTATAATAAAATCCGTTTATCATCCACAGGCTATTTCCATCTATTCTAATGTCAGTTTCCACTTCTTTAGTTTATGATATGCTGCTCTGATTTTAATGAGTGATCAGCTTCTGCAGTGTTTTGCATACAATCATCTAATCAGTATGTTATTATTTGGGAATAAATTGTTTTGTTAGATTTTGTATTAACATTTACCAGATTATATCCCAGGCACAAACCAATTCCAACTTAAATGATACAGAGCATCATTTTTAGTCTAAGATAACCGTCAGCAGACTTGTTAAAATTTAAACCTTACTTTAGAATGTCACAGATGTCTGTTTTCAGTAATGAAAGCCTTAAATAAAAGGTGCCATGTCTGTCTTTATTTTCCTCATTCTGCTGCTATGCAGCCATACCGCTATTAAAGGGACCTCTGTTACTTTTGATATTTATATAAGAAGTCATTTATTCATATTCTAATGTGTTTCTTCTTACTGTGACAATCTGAAAAGTCAATCAACTGGTATTATGAAAGACAACTTTATGCTAATTCTGATAACATTTTTTGATAACATAAAAAATGAATAATATATGTTATGATTTATACAAGAATTTTCCAAGAAAAAAAGTAATGTTTTACAAAAAAATGCAGAATCACTTGGTAGCATGTTAATTGTGGAACTGCATATAACAGATCTCACTGTCTTCTCGGCTGCTGCATCCAATATTTTATAATACAGTAAAGAAGGAACTAAAGGGATAAGTGTGCTTTAATAAATGTGTCTTCTGGACTTCCACAGCTGTAACCTTCTTCCCTTTTTCTTCTTTCTCTTATTTGTGGTGTTATTTCCTGCTGTTCTAAACCCTGATCCTATAGTAAACTGTACAGTTAAAAACATCTGTTTGCAAACGGTTTGGGGTCTTATATCCAGGTTCTTAGGACGGTAGTCACCTGTGTGACTCTCAGTAGCATCATAGTCTACCATCCACTGCACGTGTCACTTTCGTTAGTGCCTAACCTTAAATTCTGTCAGTCAGCATCACTAACACTGTATTGACATAGCTTTGTCCCCCAAAATCATTAAGCTGTTTGGAGTCATAATTTTAACTCCCATCCTGAAGCAGGATTTGCAGTTTAGGCAAGATATCATCACATCATTGGTGACAGAGCCTGACTCTATAGACATGCTCTGAAGACCCAATACCCGTGAGCCTCTAGAACACAGCAGAAACAAAGCAGTAAAAGGGAAGATGTTAAGGGAGATCTGCACAATATATGCTGTACTACATAAATCCATATGAAGTCAGGCTGTGGCAGAGGAGCCACTGTCTATGTGCACATGTGCTTACTTATGTTTTGGTTGATAGGGCATTGGTTTAAAATGTGTGAGAACTAGTTCAAAATTGCTACAACTGATTCATCACAGGGACTTGAAAATACGGCTTACTTGTGTGCAGAAATGAATCATTCATGGTAAAGTTACTCCACTTAACAGTAGAATAATGCCTTGGTTACATGTATATATGTATTCACTAGTTAATAGTTTTGGAGTTAGTTCCTTTTGTTGTTGTTGAGACGGATAAATGTTCTCTTAAGATGAACTTGCTTTAGATGCTTAACTCCAGCAATCTTAGAATTCTGAGAGAAGAAACACATTTTCTTGTGACCTGATTAGGGGACTGCAATTCTCAGTTTTTTTTTTTTTTCATCCTTCCTTTACTCTATGATTTGTTCATGGCTTGTTTACATGACTCCTTGCTGGAGGTAAAGGTAAGCTCTTAATTTCCAACTCGGTGTACCTAGAGCTAAGATAACATGTTCTGCCTCAACTTTTTTAAAGCTTTGGTGGAAGTCATCTAGTTATTCTGAAAATAACAAAGGGAAGATAAATAATTTTGTCATTAATTTTTCTTTACCTGCTAAAAAACAAGTATTAGTGACTCCATAAAGCAAAACAAATCCAGAGAAAGAGACAGCTGCTGTAGGTGGGCTACAAAGGTTGTGTCATTCCTTTATCTGAAATGCACATGGTGTTCTTTCCTCCCTGTGCTCCCACATCTGCCTGCAGCAATCCTGACATATATCTAGCATTTCCCAAATAAGAGATGAAGCACAGAGATGTTTGGTTAACAAACCGGCTTGTGCATGTGATGTTGTGGCTTTATGGCACCAGTCTACTAGAGTGGGTAATACATAGGAAAAAATGTTTGAAGGGTGATTAAATGCAAAATAGCTTCATAATGCTGGTTTCTACCAGGCAGTCTCTTCACCCTCCTTTCATATAAGCTCCAAAAAGGACACTGCATAAGCAAAGGGTTTAAGCACTAAATGACAGAAGTTCTGGTTTTGTCATTTCTTGTAATAATTCTGTTCACTATTCAACTTGCTGTTGCTTCATGTTCTCATTTCAGCAAATATTGTTAACTGTGTTTCACAAATGGGTTTACAGAAAGTCAGAGTTGAGCTTTATACAGAAGGGCCTTACACACCCTGCCTAGAGAGAGGAAGGATATGTTATTTGAACCTCAGTCTCACTGGCAGCTAATAAAGTGTTAAAGGTAGTAAACTGCATTTTTCAAACCCCGATTGATTTCCCTTAGCTTTTGTTGTTAAGCAGCCATTCTATGTTGAACCAATTTCAGTCACTGACCCTAACTCCGAGTGGCATGTATGTTACCAACATGACTTTCTGCAATGTGAAGTAAGGTGGTCTCAAATAAAGATGACGAGCTGTTCTGATTTTGTTTATATGACTTCTGCTTTCTGTTCAAGCTCAAGGTTGTTTTTTCCCTCAAAACTCTGAGCAGAATGTAGCTGTTTCTAAGCTTAGTCTAGGTTTTAAAAAAAAAAGTAATAATTAAAAAAAAAAAAAATCCATATGTATGTCAATTACCTAAAGTCTAGATTCTGTATGTATAAAAATTCCAAGCTCTGGCTAGTGTCCCACAAATAGAAGATAATGAATATTTACTTTTTCTAAGAGGTATCACTAAATGCACAAAATACAGAACTCTAAATATTCTTAATGAATAATGAGATTATCATATTTTAGGGGTATCTGTACATAAGAACTTTTCTGATAAAAGTGAAAAAAAAAAATTTTTAATTTTTGAAAAGGACAAGCTTCTTGGCACCTTCCATGCCAGTACTCACACTTGGCCTGGAACTGTGTGTAATGAATTTCAGAAGCTGATGCAGATGAAAGTCTCCTACGCCTATGTAAATTTATTTTAATCACACTAAAAACAGTAAAATCTTCATCCATACCATTATGTCCATGAGATAGAGCAACTGAGAATAGGTTTTCTCTGCTCTGTAGGGTTCTCCTCTACTTCATCCTTCTTGAAAAATTACTTATTAAAACCCTTGTTTGCAAACCCCTCTCAGTTATTTATTACTACTTACATGCGTTCTCCACTGTGTCATGTTTTTGTGAATGGGATTACAGACACTTGACGTCTGAATCCTTACTATGTTCTTTTTTCTCTGAAGCTGTGGGTATAAGCATATTTTAAAGTATTTAATCATTAATTTGTCTCAAATGTCTGTTTAGGAATGCCTGTTCTATAGGCCACAGGCTAGTAGCGGGCTGGGGTTTTTTTGAGTTAATTTGCTAGTTTGCATTAAGTGTATGTAATTCTACTAGTACTTAGCTAGGGGAGGAGTGTAAATGTTGTGTCCACTGATGAGAGTTAGGAAATGTTTCATAATTCAGTTGCCCTCATCACTAATAGGAAGGTGGAAGAATTTCTGTATCTTAAATGTTTACTATCCATAGCCAGAAACGTTAAGGGTAAGTGTTGTTATACTGGAGGAGTACTATAAGGCCAGTGCAGGCTTTAATTCGGGTTTTAATACAGTTTTTAATTAATTTCAATAATTTTAGATGTTTGTGGACTACTTTTTTTAATACCACTGTGAGCTGATTCTGTTTATTCTACATCATTTACCATCTTGAAATGCCTCTGTACCCCTAATAGTACACACTGGAGCTTGAGGACTTAAGGTGTATTTCACTTATGCCAAATTTATAAAGAGTTGCAGGTTATAGAAAGAGAATAATCATTCTTTATACAGAGAAAATTATTCATATAAAGAAAAACCAAGATGAGAATGTAAAGGAATAATCGTTTCCCTGTCTGCTAGTTCCAGCATTCAACATTAAAATTAGAAAACCAAGCCAGAAAACATGGGCAGCTGAAAAAGAGAGATGCACATGCTGTTTTTGTGTTATCTGAAAATTGAGCATATAGCATAAACTCTTACAGTAGGACACAATGTCCTACTTCTGTCTGGTGCTCCTACATTCAATTAGAGCTTTGTCATTGTTCAATTCAGTGGTCCCAGATCTTGACAGTTAGAGCAGACATTGGCAAACTACAGCTAATTAGTTGCTTATGGATCCTGCAAGTCATCCTTGCATTCTGGCGATTTTGCAACTCCATTTAATTTTCTCTTTGAAATTATCAGTGACATTAGAAATGGAGGTTGGCAGATACTCCATGTGGGTGGTTTTTACTGCATTTTCTTCATTCAGTGGCTGCTTATAATTCTGTTTATCTAAGACCTCTGTGCTGTTCTCATCCATTACAGTATCTCAGCAGCTTATTTTCCATATTTCCTTTTTGTACAGCTTACCAACGTTCCATTCTTTTTATCAGGCTATGCAGATTGTTAGTCTGTTGCCACGAATATTTTGTTCACTATTACTCTGGCAGGAGAGACCAGTAGTGGCATGAATGATCTCCCTGAAGATGTTGTCAGCAGAATCCTTAAGAAGGAACTACTGATGTTAAAATATTCTGACACTTCCCTATTCTTTGCCAACATAGGTCTACTGCATTACTAGTTTAAGGAGTGAAAGGACAAAATGAAAAGAGGATGTGTTCTGTTCAAGTATAAACATGTTAATATATTGAGTATGTTAGAAAAGCCTCATAAAAGTGATCAAATGGAAAACTTTTATTTAGATATATAATATAAAATACAGAACTGTCTTTCAGTACAGAAAAGTATATTGACCTTTTCTGTTTTAAGAAATTTGGAGACTGTGAAAAAACGAACACTTCTTTTAAAATGAGGGGACACCTTTTCTCAAAGGTGGGGTTATAATAAATGTACTTCTTAAAGTAAATTTAAGATTTAAGGTAAATACACTGAAATGAGAGACAGAATAAATATCTCCACTGAGAAAATGACCGCAGAACCAAGAGACAGCACTTGCTCAGAGAACCTCGAGCTGAAAGCTGATACCCTGAATGTGTTCCGACTAAGGTCTCTAACGGACTAGGTCCTTTCTGTTGGCACAGGACACTTAGGTGTGCTGAGTCACTTGTTGGTGCAGTGCCAAACACAGGCAAAGAGTAGAAGAGTAGGAAGGATATGAGTGATGGTAATAAGATTTCACTTAGGAAAGAGATCTCTACATCTCAATTCTTTAAGGAAAAAAATGAAATTCTACTGTAAACCACCCTTTTAATTCACAATCACCTTTTTACCTAACTTTGTAAAATATGCTAAATAGTATAATTAGGCAGAAAAATACTGCTTTGTTGCTATAATAAGAAGTATGGGTAGGGGACAGGAGAGAAGAGAAATGAAAACATTTAAAAAGACACTAAATTCTTTTGCTTCACAGAATCAACAGACATACTGAAGTATAAAATTTTTTCTGTTTCAAACATTATCAACTGTACACACACATACAAATGTACATGTTTAAGAACAATAAGCATAAGGAAATTAAAGTTGAGAAGTCTTTTCCTTTCCCTGTATCATTTCTGAGACACATCTCCTGCTAACAGGGTTCCAACTAGTGATAAAGTATGTTTAATTTAGTTTGAAATCTGCAAGTTATCAATACCGACAATGAAAAAATAGGGTATCTAGAAGGTTTAAGTCCTTATTTAAAGTGGATTGATACCTTTTTTTAACTGTATTTGATAACAATTTAAATCATGTCTTAGTAGGTTTTTATTAGTACTTATGAGGCAGACTGTTGAAAAGGAGTCTTTCAATTCTTCGCTGTTTTAATTGCTCACCATTTGAAGTAAATAGTAGGAGAATCAATTGCTTGTGAATATTAGAATTCTGTATAAATTATTGGCACAAGAAGACCTGCTTTTATTTTCCTATTTACTTATGGGCATTCACATCCTGGTCTCCATCTTCTTCCTTCCTACTTATGAACATTTGCTGGCCTGTCCAGCATTCCACACTGCTGGTGGCTTTTGTTTTGTAACAAATTCCAATATAAAAAATAGGAAGACAATAAAAAGAAAAGACTTTCTGTTCAGTGCTAGAACTTCTCTCAGAATCTCATCTTTCTTTCTCTTACCTTCTGGAAATAATCCTATTCTATTTTAATAATAACGTTCCCTTTTAGATTGTGTCTAATAACTGCATAACCTAGTCATCAAGGAGCTAGGATATTCAGTTACATAGATAATCTTCCCCTAACAACCTTTTAGCAGTTGGGGTTTTTTCCCTCCCCTGCTTACATTGTGAATAACTCCAGTATCAGTTCCTCAGAGCTTCCCAGAACAACTCTTGTGGGCTTGAGGACTCAGACAACACTGTGTCACTTTATTTTTGTGAGATGACCTTGGAAATCTTTTGGACAATCTTATGTTTTCTACAGAGTTTTAATTTTTGTGTGTGTAATTGTATGGTGTGGTAATTTCTGAGGCCTGAGTTTCTTCTTTGCTGCTTGTATTGCTGTTCATTCCTTGATTTTAACAGTGACTGTATTTTCACAAAATTAAGCCTTTTTCTTCAAACTTCCTCACTTGTTGCTCCTTCCCAGGAGGATCAAAAGTAGATGTAGAAGGCCATGAGACCTAAATTTTCCATTCAAGCTCCAGTGATTATCTTGCACCATCATCTTCTTGTGCCCATCGATGGGTATTGATTCTGTAAATCTATAGAATTAATTACAATTTCTCATACACTTCTCAAAAACAAGACAGGTAGCCCTTAAACCGATTGACCTCAAAGAAGATGGCTAGGACTGAGTAATTTGGAACTTATTGTGAAAGAGGGGACACGTTAAAACGACAAAGTAATTTTGTACCATCTGAAATTGACTGCCAAGGACTTGCACTCTCTGCTTAATTTAGCTATTGTAAAATTTCTGCCTAGTGTATTGGAATCAGTGGAAAACTTATTTTAAGGAAAGAGGTTTACAGCTATAACTGTTTACTTTAAAAAGGGTTACTGGCAGATTGATGCTAGGGAGGGATTTCTGTGCCTGAATGTGGGAGTTCAGTGGAACTGATCATCTGGAGTGATTAAATTTTTTAGAATATTCTGGCACAATAGGATTTATCCTGACAATAAAAAGTGCTGCAAGCTGTCATTGTTCTATAACTTATTCTTAAACAAATTACTTAGACGGTAGTGCGTATTGCACAAAAGAAGAAATATCCAAGACAAATCTTTGTTGGTTTACAGTCTTAAAGTAATGTGTACTTCTTAAAACTCAGAAAAGCCCAGAAATTGGATTCTTACAGAAAAGAATCACTTAATACTATTAAAAAAAAAAAAAAAAAGGCATGACACATATTTAAGAAATGTGTATGCAAATTCAATAAGTGCACCTGAATAATAAACACTTGGCTGCCTTGCTCTAAGAGGCAACAAGAATTGGAGGGGAGAAAAAAATTCCAACTAAAGCCTAAAAAAAATCCATGAAACAAACAAAAGTGAAAGTACACACAGATCTTAAGTTCTGGAGTAAGTTTAGGGTTTGGTTGTGTTTGTTGGGTTTTTTTGTTGCTGTTTTCCCCACTGTTTCTGTTTGCCGTGATTTAAACCCTGGCAGATTTAAGGTCTCATTTGCTACTTTGTTTTTACATGTTGCTTATTCTGCTACTGAATTGGCAAGGAATAAACAGTAACATTTTGTTTCAATGGACAGTTTCATAGATCTCTCAAAAACGTAACTCGACTATTAAGTATTCAGTTATTTAAAAAACTAACTTTTAAATTGTATTTATTTTAAAATATATTTCAGGCATATGGCTCTGGTTGTGACATTGTTATTCTGGCAAATGACTTTGAATGTGTGCAAATTATTCCTGGTGCTAAACATGGAAACATCCAGGTCAGTTGTGTGGAGTGTTCCCAACAACAAGGCAGGGTAAGGATTTTAATAAATTTGTATAGAATTTTTTAAAAATTTGAATACTCTAAATGAAATAATTAAATAGCAGCATAATACATTAATAGTATGAATGAGTTAATTTCATGACAAAGATCAGTTTTTACTGATCTCTAACTTTTTGAGTAAACATCTCTTGTTTTACTCAGAGAACTGTTTCAATTTAATAGTAATTTTGGGGGAGAGTGGGGTAGGGGAAGCAGGAGTCACTTTGTAACAATGGCTTTTATTCCTCTCCAGGACCTGCAATAACAGGTCTCACAAAATGTGGAGATATGTATTAGTTACAGTATAGTATCAGAACTGGAATGGTACTAAAATTACTGTTATTGTCTCCATTATTGTATACTTCCATCTAGCTAAACAAGATATATACACACGTACATGCATGTCTGTGTTTGTGTGTCCTGCAAAGTAATGAATTAGAAATACTTTATTTTTCAGAAAAGCTTAGACATGTTTAATGTGTTTAAAAGTGCTACAGTATGAGCTGTCATAACTGCATGGCCCCTTGACTGGCTATGTGGTTTTATTTTTAATCCCTAAACTATGTTAAAGAGACAGTTTAGATTGCTGAGAAAAAATATTTTCTATGAGTTATGGTAGTTCACTGAGCAAATGTTGTTTGTCAGTTGTCACTGCCTACTAAATTAGCTAGTTAAAAATTGGTTGCATTACTGGGAAAGCCCTAGCTGGGGTTTGGGCAGGGTTAGCCAGCAAGGCCCCTGCACTGCAGCCCCAGTAGGACTGGAAGAGAGATTCCAGCTGCACAGGCTGCCCCTGTAAGATCACCATGAACCCCTGGGTGCTTCTGCATTCGGGACTTTGAACTCACGGTCTGTTCTCTTCTTTGGGTGTGTGCTGTTGCAACCTTCCGCACCACTCCCCTCCTCCCAAAGAGGAAATAAAATTTCATAATAAATGTCATGACACTTTTACATCATTTCTGTATTGAAGAAACCAGATCCTGAATGGGAAGAACTTAAACAGTTTTTCTTTTAAAAATCTTTTAAGGATGAAAAATAAATTTTAAAGATCGTCAAAGGTACTCATAAGCATATGAGCATTAGGAACATGACCAGATAAATTCCTAATAAAGACCATGTTGTGTATGGAGGTTTCTGTGAAATAAATGTGTGAAAGAAATTGAAGGGTTCAGTGGTATAAGTACTTTGGTTTACCTGTTTACCATTCGTCTCCCTTCAAAATGTACTTAACTGTTCAAAATACAATTATATTTCTTCCTGTTTCTCATAATTATTATTTAGTGGTACAGAATGGAATCTGGGAACACACAGGGACCCACACACTAATAATTAATTTATTAGTTAGCTGTAAAGTCAACAGAACGTGAGCAGAAGTAGTGAAGGCATCAGCTTTCCCTTATGCATTAACAGTAGTTACCCTAGAAGAACATATTAAATCTGATTGACAGTGTTTATCCCACTGACCAAGCTGTCTTCCCTACTTAGAGTTAAAACCTTAAAGATGGGCTTGTTCAAAAGTATGTATTTCTCAACTTCCTTAAGAAGGTATACCTATAATGCAAGTAATGACATATGTACTAATTTCACTTTTCTTGAACAATGGCACATAGAAGAAGTACTGAAAATTCTTTAGCTATTTTGGAATACTAAAGAGTGATTACATTTATCTCCTAACCTTGCATTTTGAATCTTCAATTTATTTATTTTTTTCCAGATTGCAGCATCATATGGAAATGCTGTTTGCATTTTTGAACCACTTGGTATAAATTCTCATAAAAGAAATTGTGTAAGTATGTATTTCATTATTGTAATTTGGTTTAGGTTCTTAGAAGAAACAAAAATCTGTCTGCCAGTTATTATGTTACATTAGCACACAAAAGACTAATGGATGAACATTTTCCACCATCCATGGTAAAATTGGATGGGTAGAGTCTTCAACTGCATGAATTGAATTGGGGACTGCACTCCTCCTAAGTTCACAACACCATCTTGTTCTTGAATCTCGTACTGGAATGACATGGTAACAAGTTGGTGTTTCTGTAACTTGAAGAGGTCATCAGATCTGTGGTACAGAAATATGACTTAGACTTGTGTGTGTGTACCCAGGCTTGTTTTAACAGCACAGCCAGGGCTGAGCACTCAAGCCTGAAGTATGTTCTCAAGCAGGTCTCAGTCTTCGTTGCGTCTATACTGCCACCCCTTATGTCGTTATAAATGTATAACGTAACTAGTTTAAAATAATCTACAGATATATTTGTGTGTGTGACAGGCCAGATCTGGTTACAGGGCACTCTGTGATGCATTTAATTTTTATAAAACAATTAAAGAAATTATTAAAACTAGATTCAGCAATCTAGCACTGTGTCCTGAATGCTTTTGCAACAGGCTTAATAGCAATTTCATGGAGAAAGAAAGAAATACCAGTTCCTTTGTATTTTGCTGTTGATGTAAGTGTTAATCCCTTACTATTCTTAAACTACAGCAACTAAAGTGTCAGTGGCTTAAAACTGGACAATTCTTCCTCAGTTCTATGACTTACAACCTGGCATGGGATCCTCAAGGTAATGTGAAGCTTGTGAAGTATTTATTCAACATTTGTAATTAGGAGAACTTGAACATGAATTATTTTTATTGTAATAAAGTGAGACCATGAATACGGAAATTTTAGATTATCTGTTCTTAGATATTATTGTGTAAAATGTGAGGCTACAGTTAGCATTTGTGAAGAAGCTGTGCCAAGTGTTTGAGTCTCTTGTGCAACATCTTAGTTTGAGACTAAGTGTTAAGTTGCAAACTGAATTAAATTACCACTAATAATCATTTAAATAAATTTTTTTTCACAATTGAAGTCAGCAATGTACCCAGACATAGATATTTATAAGATGTTTAACAATGTGTATTTATTTGAGACGTGAGTGGCTATTTAGCACCTGCAACATTCATTATTAAATATGATTTATCATTTGAAGTCAGCAAAAAAACCTTGATGTTTTTCTTAAAGGGTATTATAAATTCAAAAAGTTTTTATTAAAACAGCTGTATAAAATGATTGAATACCCTATCATTAAAAATAGACTTTATAAAGTTGAATTTTCAACCTATTTTGAATAATTCTAAACAAGATATGAAGACAGACTTAACCTTTCAACATACATGCATCATCTTGGCTTCACAGCTTTGGTATTACTTATTTTCAGGTAGCAGGCTGCTGACAGCAACTGACTTTTTGCAATTGTGGGCCCCTCCATCTACTGACATTCTAGAAGAAGATGAAGATGATGACCCTGACAATCAGATCAAAGATGATAAAGTCCTCCCAGGTCTAAATGACTGGAAATGTGTCTGGCAGTGCAAGTGAGTGAGATAATTTTTATTTTAAGACAAATTGCAATGCCACCTCTTAGATCAACACTATCTTCTCTCCAGAACCATACTTTTAAAATGTGCTTTCAAATCAGCTTAAAATATACGGTTCAAACAATGTAAGTTACTCCAAATAAAAATTCCTCGCTTTTTCAAGTGACCTATCACCAGATAACCTAGTCGAAGGCTTACTCAAACTGTAGCACTGAGAACGTATCAAAATTGTCCCTGTTTTCTCAGTTTTTAAAGTAGTTTTGAGATATTGGATGAGACTGAACAGAGGAGCAGTAGCAGACAGATATGCTACACTGATTAAGGTGAGAATTGCTTCCTAAATTGTGGGAAGACGGTCCTGAAACTCTTTCTACCCAGTTCTCTTTGAGATCTGTGTTACAGAATTGCTTCATGATCAGCCATTTCTATATAAATGCAGACTTAGGAAACACCTGCTTCAAAAAAGTTAAGAGAAAACAGGTTCATAGGTAGCTTTTGTGCCCACAAAGCACTGTATAGGCCACTTTCCTCTCAGACAGCTGACCCATAAACTGTAGTCACAGACAAGTAGTATCACAAATTACCTAAAAGATCTTCACTTTCATTTTTTCCTACTATTCATCTTGGCTTCACTGGGAGTAGAGGAGCAGATGGGACAGACTTCACTTCTGTGATCTCATCAGATCTAGCCTAGCCTTGCTGACTTAAAACTATTTAATTATGGGCTTTTTTTCTGTAAAACTGAAAATACTAAATATTCTGTTTCATTGATTTGTAGCAAACACTTTTTATGCTTCTGCTATTTCTAAAGTATGCTTCAAGCAACAACTATAAAATATTAATAATTTCATTTAAATAATGAACAGTAATATTTAACTGAATACATATGGAATAATACTATAGAATAAATAGACTTTACTTACAATTTAAAACTTTACTATCATGTTCTTTAGGACTGCAGTATCAGTACATTTGATGGCATGGTCTCCTGATGGTGAATACTTTGCAACAGCTGGGAAGGTAAGGACAAAAAAAGAATAATTAAATAAGTGTTTGCAGTATTTTGCGTTTGTTTGACAAAAGTAAATAAGTAATATAGAATAGTCCTGGACTGCACACTCTATTGTAGTCTGAGCTAAGTTATCATCTTGTATAATGCTGTATTTTTGTGTAATTCCATGAATTTCAGCAACAAGAAATTGGATTTAGCTATGTATTCTTACTGAATACTTGAGAATCAACCTGGAAATACAGTGATGGTGATACAGACTTGTGTGTGCATATATATATTTTAGATAAAGTATACTTAGATGAACTTCCAGATATGCATAATCATATTTTTCAACTTTGGTAGAAATAATGAGGATAAATATTAGATCATTATGGTAGAACACATACACATTTAAACTGGTATGATATGCACACCGCAGTGCATAAATTAGAAAATATTTTCTATTTAGTGAATTCTGGGTTCAGTTATCAGTTCTTAAGTTCTATTTCAGTTTGGCATATTTTTTGTCAAATTGCTATTCAAACTAAGTTTTCAGTTAAGTCTCTTCAGTGTCACCCTCTCATTTGAGTGATTCCCTCTGGTTTTCAGGTCTGGATGGGTAAGCTTTATTGCTTTCACATAATGTTGGTTGAACAATGAGATGCATTTTAGGAACCTATGAATTCTTACACTTACTAAAGAGGACAACTGAATCATAAGCTGCACTGTTTTATGACTAAAAACATACTTACACCACCTTAATAAATATTACATTTAGAATTACTGTGGTTAGAAAATTATCAAAATATTTTCTTCATTCCGTATTTCAATTTCCCATTAATATACTTTTATATAGCTAAGAATTTGATGAAATAGATGAGGCGATAGTTCCAGAATCTATTAGTTGTTAATATGCAGAAGATATTAGTTGTTTCATGAAGTACACAGCTTTGATCACAATTCTTAACAGGGCTGCCTGTTAGACTTCCTTCTTGCAGAATCTGTGGTCAGATACTGTGCTTTTTGATGCTTGTCAGGAAGTACTATCGTTTATATACACTCCCAGTGGTTTGTAATTTATTCATTTATATACTTGATTCTGTATCTCCACTCCAGCAGCAAGTTCTGAAATCCTGGGATGTGGCATCCAGCTGTGTACAGTGTACTGTTGTTATACTAGTAATGTTGTCCTTAGTTCACATCAGCATAATCATACTTCAGTCTCACTTCTCAGCATTTGTAGTATTGCTGTGTCAGCATTTCAGTTTTGTTTCAATTAATTACATCAGTGGTGCCCAACCATTCAAGCCAGAAAGGCAGCATAGGTTGTGCTGGTGGAGGGGAAGGTTGTAATTGGCATCTGCTCCTCTGTTGTGTGCCTGGGCTCAGGTACAGTGCATTCCATGAAGGCTGGGCTTCCTGAGCATGGGAACCAACAGGCACTTACAGTATGAATTGTCTCAGTGGAAAAACTGGCTGTTAATGAGCTTAATATTTTACTGTGAGTGGCAGCCTATTTCTGGCTTCTATCTTTGCAGGGAAATGGACATGGGATTTAAGCATGCATATGTGCCATGCAGAAAATGCATAGCAAACCAAGAGAAAAGTAGGGGGCCAACTGGACTAGAAGGAAAATTCCTCATGGGAGTGCAGTGTTGCCAACAGAATATTTCTCCAGTCCTGTAACTCATTCCAGGATGACTATCAATGAAATAAGTGGTCTCAGAAATGTGTTGTCTGAAAAACTGCAAACAGTTCTGGGCCACAGATCAACTTTTCTTGAAAGATATCAGAACAGCAGTTTCCTTATTATTTGGGATTTTCTTTTTGTGACATTTTTAATTATAGCTAGCTAACTCCAAGGTTTTTTATTGCTTTACCTAGGATGACTGCCTCTTAAAGGTTTGGTATCCTATGACTGGTTGGAAGTCATCTCTTCTGCCCCAAGAGAATGAAGAAAAGAAAAAATGCTCTGGGGTTGTCCACTTCTCATTTGTTTATTTGGCGCATCCTCGAGCAGTGACAGGATTTTCATGGCGTAACATTAGCAAGTACATGCCCAGGTTCGAAAGATTTTTTTTTTTTTTTTTTTTTCAAAAAAAAACAAGCAAGCCTTTGACCAAGTATTTTTTAACATTCTGCTTTAAGTTTGACTATCAAGAACATTATTAGATTTCTCTGCTTATGCTTTCAAGAAATAAAACATATCAACATCTTCCCATAAGCTTCTGTATTATTTAGTGCAATAGTGATAGTCATGTTAACAGGTGAGATTTATTCTAAAATGTGGTCTAAACTTCAGTTATGCCAGGAAGCTATGCCAGGAAGCATGGATGTAAGGCATTGTCTTCACAAAATGGTGCTATGACTTTGGAAACAAAATATTTGTTTAAAAAATTAGCGTTTAGTAACCTGTTTTCTGTGCATTTTTGTATATACTGGTTTTTAATTAGTTCTTTAATTTATGTATTGTTCACGTAGTCCAGCCAGTTAGATAGTTTAGGCAGTTTCATAACTGCAGTATTTTAATAACTGTTGTGTTTATCAAATAATAACCATTCCACATTCACATGCACTTTTGCCAATAACCTGTGGGTTTATCAGCATGCCAAAAATCACCACTGATATAAAACCTTTAGTTAGGGGAGAGACAAAAGTTTGGATGAAACAGTAACTACTAAATATTTGTATACTCCCCTAATTTCTGCTGTGTCAATATAGCTAATTTAATTACATTCGGTGGTAACTTTAATATGTCTATCGTTAGGGGTTTGGTCTGTAATGTGTTACTCACATCATGTATTGATGGCGTCTGTCGGCTGTGGGCAGAGACATTGTTACCAGAAGATACTCTTCTTGGTGAACAGATCTGTGAAACTAGCACTTCCAGCATTAGCAGCACCATCTCTCAATCTGGAAAGCAAAAGGACAAAATACAGCATGCACTAGAGGTACAAGGAAATACTTATTTTGTAAATTTTTTATTTGAAGATCCTTAAAAGTTAAATATTTAAAGGATGTAAAACTCTAAGAATGTGTATTATCTAGTTCTTATAAGCATAACAGAACCATCTGATTTATTTCATATCAGTTTTTGAAGTCTATTACTAAACGCAGAAGTCAGAGACTTTGCAACGCTGCACCCAAGCTCCATGTTCTTAAAACTCAGTCTGTTCTACAGCTAACTAATAGTGATATGAAGAGACAGTGTTTAATATGAAATAGTAACTGATAGTTTCACTTTGATTTGGTCTGAAAGCCTGTAATTATAGAAACAGTGGAATCAGTAAATAGACTTTTTAATTTTCAGTTATCTGATCTGATAACTGCATTTCCAAAAAGTGGTATTATGGGACTCTAAATTGCAGTGGCAGTCATATCAAGCCTATTACGTTTACAGTAAGAGAAAACCTATCAATATAAAAACAAGAAAACAAAACAAAAACAAACGATCACCCCACTACTTGTCTGTAAACTATTACAATCAGACCAAGTTTTTACTTCTTACATATCATGACCATCAGCAAATAGGGAGAGTAGAACAAAGTATGCTTTGGGCTGTTAAATCTGATGTGCTCTCCATGTACTTTCAGAAGACTGCTAGAAGAGCTTTGCCTTTGGCCAGAACTGATATACATAAGTGTTACTAATCTCTGTTGAAATCTATTTAAAATAATCATTTGGAAATTAGTCTTCACTTCCTAGGTAGAAGGAAGTTAAAAAGTTTTAGGCTTTATATAAGTGTGAATTTTTACCTTGAAGTTTTTTAGTATTTCTTAACTTATTTTTTATAACTATACCAGACAATTCACCATTTGAAAAATATGAGAAAAGGACAAAGGAGATCTTCAGTTCTTGTTACCCACACAGATGTATTGCCAGATCAACAGGGTACTCATGAAGTTCAGCGTCACATTTCACATCACGCAAATGCACTTGGTCACTTCCATATAGCAGCAAGCATCAACCCTAATACAGGTGAAATACAACCATTTATTAAACCGTAATAATATATTTGCACAAAATGAAATAAATTAAGGGGGCTGAGATGCACATTTTTTACTTTGCCTAATTTAATACAGGGAATCTGTAGGAAGGCTGTTATTTCACAAGTCTATTATTTGGCATAGAGTTTTGTAAGACAAATGAGGCTGAATTTATCCCAAATACCTTCAGCACTTTTAAAAGCTGAAGGTATTCAGAATAAAAATCATTAAATTCATCTTTGCACATCATAAAGCAAAAGAAACCTAAATTTCAGGTCTTAGCATTCGATTGTTGGCTTTTGGGAGGCAATGGTATATGATGAATAGAGTATTTGCACCTTACAGAATATATAGTGAATGAAAAAAAGCTGTACCAGATATTTTGGCAGGAAGCCAGCTGCTTTTTATAGAATAATGCAGAATATTTTAGACAAGGAAAAGATTAAAGAGCAATCATGTGCCTTACCTAAAATTTCTACATTAAATGACAACACTGCAACATATGCAATTGAGCAATCTGAAGTGTTATCATTTACTATTCACATAGGAATCAATTTTCATGTAAATTTGCTGATTTTAAAATATCTTCACATTTTTTTACTTACAATTGCATGTAGAAACTTGATGCATCTTACTTTTTCTAACTTTACAGGCACAAATTATGTTTTACCTAAATAAATTAAATGTCCTAATTAAGAAATCTGTGTATAAATGATAAATGCTTGTGTGTGTATATATATATAAAGATGACCAGTTTAATATACAGATTTTTTATTTGTTTAAAAATGTCTACAGATATTCCATCAGTCTTGGCTGGAACAGCTTTTAATATAGATGAAGGAAATGGAGGCTTCGTTGTTCACTGGTTGAATAATAAAGAATTTAACTTTACATCCTCTATCGAAGTATTTATGCAGCATCTAAGAAAAGTTTCTGAACAACAACCAGAACAAGATTTTGATGTTGAGGTTGAAGAGGAAGAAGAAATGGAAGAAAAAGAGAGAGGTTTACATATGAAATTAGATCATGGTTAGTAATACTGAGATAGGTAGCACAAGAATTATTTGAAACACATTAATGAGATAATGGAATTATTTAACAGAAGAATTGTAAGTGCTAACATTTTATCACTAATCTAAAATAAAGAGACATTTGGAGGTGAAATTTTGGCTGCTATAATTGTAGGCATGAAAAATTCAATCATATACTGTCTTGGAATGCAGTAGTGATATACACTGAAAAAGGTAGCTTTTTCTTTCATTTCCATTTTGGATATATTCCACTGAGCTATGAAATTATGACTAAGACCTGTGCTCTATTTACCTTACAATCTGATGTCAGTAATGACATACCAATTTATGGCAAGCTTTAAGACGGGTTGGACATAGCTCTATTTTAATGCAACTGCACTGTTTTCAGTACCAGCAAGATTTATATCTTAAATGTTACATCATCTGAAGATCCCAACTGTAGCTGCTCACAGAGGAGTGGAGAGACACCTGTTGAAATTAATGATGGAAAACTTATATTACCAGAAATATTTCACTTTGCTGTGGGAGGGTCACTTGGCCAGTGATGTGTAAAAATAGAAATCTGTCTACAGTAAGACCAATTAGTGACAGTAAACTGATGATACATTGTGTCATTTATAATGCTTAGATTCTTAAAATCTAGATTACCAATGTAGTAGTTAAGTGTGTGATAATTCTTACTTATCATGCAATATATATACTGTTTCGTCAATGATCACATACCATGTATTTCATGATTACCTTCTAAATATGAAAACCCCCTACATTAGTTTGGAAGCAGCATTCATATAAAATGTGTGTGTTTATATAGTTGACCAGAATAATCTTAGGCAGGGTATTACACTAAGTATCTGGATTTTTACAGTTATATTTATTATTACTTGTATTGCATAGTTAGAAGCAATAGTCAAAGGCCAGATCCTCATATTTTTGTACAGACAGACCAAAGAAAGATGTCTTTACCCTCAATGTGCATGAATGTTCTTATCAGATAGTACTATTAGCAGATTCAAAAATATTGTGTTGTTTTGAATAGAAACGGATAGGAAAAGCTTTGCAATGGAAAAAATGTCACGTTTCTTTTATGTTGCAGACTTATCTATAGATAGAGAATCAGAGACAGGAACTGGTACAGGCTCCTCAGAACATGAAGATGGAGAAAGAGAGGGAAGCCCTAAAACATCTCTACTAACAGGCCCACGCATGGCTCTTCCAACAGTTTTATTAGATCGGAAAATTGAGTTGCTCCTAACTGAATGGAACAGAAATCCAGATATGCTTTTTACTATCCATCCTATTGATGGTACCTTTTTGGTGTGGCATGTGAAATATTTAGATGAATACACTCCAGGCATATTTCGGCAAGTTCAGGTATTTAATATTTGAAATTGTTTTTATTATTTATGATTGGAATCAACAATCATTGTGTCCTTTCTTTTATATCTGAGCATCAGTATGAATTTAATTTTAAGTACTTCCTGTGAAACAGCTGATGTTGTTTCAGACTTAAGGTGGGCTGTTGTATGCTAATTTTTTTTTTTTTTCTTTTTGTAGGTTTCATTTTCTTCTAGGATTCCAGTTGCATTTCCATCAGGAGATGCTAGTTCTCTTAGCAAAAACATTATGATGTATGCTTGCCCTGCCTTTGTAAAAGATAACAGTAATGCTGTACATCAGAAGACAATGGACTTTCCAGATAAGGCTCTAGCAAATAAAGGACCAAGCTTTACCCAGGACAGTGCAAATGTGAATATAATTTCTCCCATAGTAATGATGATTTCCAAACATATAGATGGCTCTCTAAATCAGTGGGCAGTTACTTTTGCTGATAAATCAGCTTTCACTACTGTGCTAACTGTATCACATAAATTTAGGTACTGTGGTCACCGTTTTCATCTCAATGATCTAGCCTGCCATTCTGTTTTACCGTTACTGCTAACCTCTTCTCATCATAATGCTCTATTAACTCCTGAATCAGACAGTTCCTGGGACTCTGACAGGATAAACAGAATAATGGATCCCATTAAACATGTGAAAGGTTCTTCTAGGCAGCAACTTAAAAATGCAGCAACCCGTACATTCCATGACCCCAATGCAATCTATAGTGAGCTGATTCTGTGGCGTGTAGACCCTATAGGACCTTTATCATACACTGGAGGAGTATCTGAATTGGCTCGAATTAACTCTCTTCATACCTCCGCTTTCTCTAACGTAGCCTGGCTTCCAACACTTATTCCCAGCTATTGCCTTGGTGAGTATACTTAGCATGTTTCCGTATAGAGTTAACATTGTGAGTCACAGAATTAATTTGTTAAAATAAATTACTATTGTATTTGGACTACATTTATATTAACTTTTCAGTATTTTCCTTGTATTATGCAAATTGCAGATTTTCTTTTTCATTTGGTCTGAGTGTGTAGTTACCATGGATCAGCTGACATTCAGGAGCTTCTTTGTTTGAGTAAGCAATCATCACACTCACAAACAAGACAATCCCTTTCCTCAGTGCTTTGGGCAGCTTCATTGAATGTTCTCTGCATTGACATGGTATTAATAATGCAGATGTTCTGGTGGCTTGGGCATCTGGATTGTTGGCCACATGCAGCTGCCAGAGGCAGTGGGTTGAACCACTCAAACATCTGAATTACTGGGCAAGATTTTCAGCCAAAATTTACAGTATCAGAATCTTTTAACATGCTGGCTAAGAACTCTGCTTTGAAGATCTTGAAACAATACTGAAATTCTTCAGACCATCAGTCATCTACAAAAGCCAGTTAGAACACGGAATATTTTTAAATAGACTACATTAACCTTACAGAATGGTAAACAATACTTTTTCAGAGGTCAGGCAGTACGACGTCTGATGTATAATGTCCTAGGACAATTCTTCAGTTTTTGTATTTAATTTTAGGGCTTTCTATTGCAGTTAGGAGAATTGTCTCTACAAATGTGGCTCTATTCAGCCACTCAAATACTTATTTTTGAATTATCATAAAGATACTGTTGTAGTAATTGTCATCTTTGTATACAGTACTAAAAACATAATTCGTGCTGTGGATGTAACATTTAATTTTATACTAATAATGCCAGGTTATTTTATTATGCAATTATTAAGTGGGTGTCAAAGATGTTCAACCTCAAAAATCCTAAATATGCTTAATAAATGTATAACTTATCTTTGATTTAAAATAAAATAAATCTATTTTCTCTGCTCACATAGTAACATCCTGTGCTGTCTGAATCCCACAAAGTCTTCTAAACACAAATAAATAGCTGCTTCCCTCTTATAATGTAAGAGGAAAACGTAGATCAGAATAGAAAACCTTGTGTCAAGCCTGTTCTATATACTGCAGAAAAGTAGAAAAGACACTGTTACATTTTTTTCATATATTATTCACTACTGCACGTATATTTCTCCCTCCACTTCTGTATCTGCACTTTTAACTGGAGGGTAGAAGGGAATATTCATAGGGGTTAATTTTATCCAAAGATCCTAGAGATAGTAAATAAGGAAAAAAGCTATAGCTAATACAGCTTTTCTGATCAGTTTACCTTAGACTCCTCCTCTAAATTGTCTTTGACGACCTAGGGAAGCTAGAATTAGCCCTTCTGAGCACTTCAGTATAGGTGACAATGAAGACAATATAACCATTTTAACGAATGGCAGTGTTCCCTTAGATGTACTAACTAACTGGTTTTAGCATCTGTGAACAATGTTTGTAAACATACATGAATTCTGCTTAGATTATTCAACTTCTATGAGGAGTTTGTTACATGAATGAGCAGAAAGGGAGTTATTTCAAAGTTCATATAATGGTGTTTTAATGCACACATTTGCTTAGCTTATTTTGCTTCAGTCGTTTATGAAAGCTTTATGTTAGAAACATATTCAGATATTGTGAAGTGGATTGTAATAGACTATCTGATGCCATTTGACTACCATTTTTTTATTTAACTATGAAATTTTCATGTTTTCTATTAGGTACATACTGCAACTCTGCTAGTGCTTGCTTTGTTGCATCTGACGGCAAAAACCTGAGGCTCTATCAAGCTGTTGTAGATGCACGAAAACTTCTGGATGAATTATCTGACCCTGAATCATCTGTAAGTTTTATGTAGCAATCGTTTGAAAGTATTGAAATAAAACTAGTTAAGGTAATATTTTTTCACCCTCCAGTGGCTTGTCTTCAGTTAGTTCTGTGTAATTTTTTTGCCATTCAGTGTATAGGATCTTATGCATTATACCTTGCATAATTACATGTTTTGCAGCTGTCTGTAAACATTAGCATACAGAAGTGCAGCTATTACTACTAGAAGTGGCTGGACTGAAACATAATTTCCCTGACAAGTGTCCCCAACCTGTAGCAAGTGGGGAAAGGAAAAATTGGATTTCTTCCTTTGTCTTCTCAAAAGGGGAGTTAAGCAAGTGGGAGGGTGAAGACAGAAAAGCAACTTAGGTGTATCCACCTAAGTTACCTCTATATATGAGAAAGGGCAGAGATGGCAGGATAGGAGGGAATCAGCAGGTTATTGCTAAGGGTAATATTAGCTCTTATTTTTTCTGTAATAAGCAAGCTTTTTATCCATATTTATCTTTCATTTCTGTGACTTTAAGCAAAGTAAAGCCTGACTTTGCGCTATTATATAAACCAGCACATCTTTTTTTTTTTTTTTTTTTCCCCATTCTTCTGTTATTTTATAAGCTATCCTGCAAGACAGAGCCTGTTAGTATTCAAATCAGTCTGAGGAGTCTCTTCTAGGAGCAATGATTGTGAACATTCCAGCAAAAATCAAGAGTCTTCAGTTTATATATAACCTGTACTGATTTATTTTTTTACTTGTTGTGACAAAACCTGAAGCTTTAAACAAAAGTGAAGCAGTATATTTGAGTTTCTCATGGCACATGTACTAAGTTATGTTATGAAAGGATAAATCTTTAAATAAACAACATTTAGTTTCCATAAAAACTGGTGTGCTATTCCCATAAATAGATGCAGACTCTAAACAGTGCAAATGTCTTGTTAAACGCGTTATTTGTATGTGCCAAAATGACAACAGAAAGAAGTCTGTTACAGTTTATGCAAACAAGGAAAATTAAAGCACCAGTTTATTGTAAATGACTGTAATTTCTTTCTGTCTGAAGGAAAAATATACTAACTCTTCTTATTTTGCTCTGTTTCAGAAACTTATTGGGGAAGTGTTTAACATTGTGAGCCAACAATCTACTGCTCGGCCAGGATGCATTATTGAACTCGATGCAATAACTAACAAAGTAAATAAATGGTTAACTCTTTAAGGGTATCACAAAACGGTGTTTAATGGCTTTGTCTGTTAATTAACCCGATCTGTTAAAAAGAGGTAAAAGACGTGACATTTTCCTATGGTTATAAAGATTGCATTGAATTCTTTGAATCTTAAATTTTAAGTTGAGATTTACAAAATATTTTTCTAGGACTTTTATAGATGAATATGGGGAATACTCTCCAAGTTTATCTGGAAAAAGAGGGTGTTTTGCAACATGGAAACTTTGCCATCACTGTCTTTGGGGGATATATTTTTCCCTGCCTGCAGGAAGGGATTTCACTGCCAGCAGCCTCCTTTGTAGAGAGGTGGAGGGACTGCAAAGAAATCTGTTGCTCTGAGGAAGGACAGCTGTTTAGCTATCCAAGAGGAGGAAAATCTGCAATTCATTCCCTTTTCTAGATTTCCCAAGCAATTCACAGCAGACACATCTTCCCACTCATGAGAGATAAAAGTCTAAGTGGTTTTGCCCCTGTCATTTATTCAACACCCAAAGAAATAAAAAACAATCAGATACTAATTCATCTGTCAATAACTGCAGCAAAAATATTATTACAGAATTCATCTAGCATCGTAGATCTCAGTGAAATTATTTGAATATACAAACAATAAGTTTCAGAATATGCTATTCTTAATATAAGAGGAAAATATTTCATTTTTCTGATGCAATAAAATAATTTTCAATATTATAGATGACAGCGATCCTCATTGGTAGCTAGATTGCACAAAAGAAATAATACTATTAGTGCAAAATGTTGCTATACTGTTCTGGAAGCATAACTATTGCTTAATGTTTCAGTGTGGCTCAAACACACAACTGCTTCATGTCTTTCAAGAAGACTTCATTTTGGGGTACAAACCACATAAGGAGGACATGGAAAGGAAGGAAACTGAGATATTTTTCCAGCCATCACAAGGTATAGCATAAAAATAACTAATAGGAATGAAGTAGGTACCAAAAATGTTCTTAAAGAATGCTGAAATCTAGGCTGCATATGCTAGTTTCCTTTTTAATGATAATCTGTAGAATTCAGTAAAATGGCTATTTCATGTTGCTCATATGAATTGTTGTTTACATGGTAATAGTATTAAACAAAGGTACTCTAATTTGCTTAGAGTGAAACTTTTAAACTTTATATGATAAAGTAAATTTTTCAAAATGCTGTATGTTATATATAAAAATGTGTACAAAATAGAACAGAAGTGTATTTTCTGCATCAATATATAGTTCCAGATGATAAGGTGAATATATCTGACTTCCAAGTTAATACAATAGAAAGTAACTGGGGAATTTAGTAGTAGACTTAAAACTTTAAAAGAAAAAAGAATAAAGTAAGCAGGTGGAAAAGAGTCTACAATTGCAAAATAGTTCCAATGACTGGGAAGGCAAATATATCCAATAAATTAGATTTGCCACCAATAACTCAGGTTATATGTAAGTCAGTCTGTCTCTTAATTTTCATAATTCTTCTGTAGCCATGAGCAAACAAAATGTCAATTATAAAAATGTTATAAATAGTACTGTTTGAATACTTTGTTTTACAAGCAAGCAATTTCTTTCAAACAAGAAAACAGGGGGGGTTTATCAATAATTTTTAGAGTCTTACTGAAAATTATGTTGAACATAAACTTCATGATAGTTATAAGATGTTTAAATTACAGGGTATCGTCCACCACCTTTCTCAGAAAAGTTCTACCTGGTAGTAATTGAAAAAGACAGTAATGGCTGCTCTGTTCTTCAGATGTGGCATCTTCATCTCAAATCCGTGCAAGCCTGTTTAGGTGAGTGAGTGTCTAATTTTCATAGAGACAGACATTTCTTTCATATTATTTTAAATAAAACTTAAAGCTTGGTGGTTTATTTTAAAACAAATTGTGTTGCCTTTGTCAAGCAGAAGCCTCAAAGTCAGGACTCTTCAGAATAATTTGTCCATGCAGTAAAAGCAGTAAGATTCCTTATAAACATTGGTTGCATTCTATACCAATAGAAATATAAAAATTTGTTGGTAGGGTGAATAATGTACTTAAGTACTGGATTCTTTATTTTAAACTGTCAGTATTTCAAAATGTTATGGGTGTCTTAAAACGAATATTCACAGCATGCAGTAAAACTAATACAGCCTGTGCATGTCATAATTTTCTATGTAACTTAAGCACTGCTAAAATAAATAAATCTGATTATATGATATTCGTGCTTTGTCCTTACTTACAAACAATTTTTTTAACAATGGTGGCATTTTTTTTTTATCTAGCAAAACCAACTGAAGTTACTTTGTCAGAGAATAAGCTTAGTGTACCTGAGCAAAAGACTGTGAATTCCTCTCCAGATATATCACCTGGCATAAGTCCCATTCCACGATCTTCATCAATTGCTAATCTTCAGACTGCTAGTAAACTCATTCTGAGCTCCAGACTTGTGTATAGCCAACCTCTGGATCTTCCTGTTGGTGTAGAAGTAATAAGAGCAACTCCTTCAGCAGGTAAATTTAACATATTTTTTCTATCCAGTTGGTCCACTAATTTACCTTCTAGTTTATAGGATTATATCTCCTCAGCCTACCACATTACGGTTTACTGACACAGGGAACACAGGACTAAAAAGGCACTCTCAAATCATTGTGTCCATATGATGTTACCCTTTCATAAATGTATCAAGTCCCCACAGGAAAGCTGTTCCTGAAACTTACTGCTCTAATAGGTGGAGACTTAACTTCTAGTGTTGATTTTGATAATGAACAATTTATACTCACTTGTTCATCTGCCAGCATTAATGTGTTGGGTGTATAGTGCTTTTTTTACCTGATGCACTTACACCTTCTAATGTATGTCTGTCTGTGCGTGTCTGTCCTGTCTTTTTTTTTTTTTTCCCTCTTAGGTTTCATTTTGGTAGGCTCTATGAACCTAATCTTAACTTCCTCAATCTCATCTGATTAAGTCTTTGTATTCCTCTCATTATTCCAACAACCCTACTCTGAATTAGTTCAGTACCAGCTTATCTTCTTTGAATAGTGACCATAAATGAACATGATTAGTAATGTTCAAGCTGCAAGACTGTTACCAGTCTTAATACATTTGCCCTTATCTGACTCCAAATTAAAAAAATATGTTGTAAAGTTCTCTATCAGTAGTTAGACAGTGTTATGTCTCCCTTATTCATATAGGTATTCTACTTTCTATTACTAAAAGTAAATATGTTTGTTCTAACTTCAGGTCACCTGAGTTCTTCATCAATATACCCAGTCTGCCTTGCACCTTATTTGATAGTGACATCATGTTCAGACAACAGAGTGCGGTTCTGGAGATGTACTATAGAGACAGACCTAAACAGCAAAAATGAAGAAAGAGAAACATACCATTGGAGAAAATGGCCTTTAATGAATGATGAAGGAGAAGACAACAGCAGTACAGTGAGCATAGTAGGAAGGCCAGTTGCTGTTAGCTGTTCTTACACAGGACGTCTTGCAGTAGCATACAAACAACCCATACAGCATAATGGTTTTGTTTCCAAAGAATTTTCCATGCATGTTTGTATACTTGAATGTGAGTCCACAGGAGGATCAGAATGGGTTTTGGAACAGACAATTCATCTGGATGATTTAGTTAAGGTTGGAAGCGTCCTTGATTCAAGGGTCAGTGTAGATAGTAATTTATTTGTTTACAGTAAATCAGATGCTTTTTTGAATAAAGACAAATACTTGGTGCCCAGTATCAAGCATTTGGTGCATTTGGACTGGGTATCAAAAGAAGATGGTTCACATATATTGACAGTTGGAGTTGGTGCCAACATCTTCATGTACGGAAGACTTTCGGGAATTGTAACAGATCAAACTAGCAGCAAAGAGGGAGTAGCTGTCATTACTTTACCACTAGGTGGTAGCATAAAACAAGGTATAAAGTCAAAGTGGGTGTTGCTTAGATCAATTGATTTGGTATCATCTGTAGATGGCACTCCTTCACTGCCTGTTTCACTGTCCTGGGTGAGAGATGGTATACTGGTAGTGGGAATGGACTGTGAAATGCATGTATATGCCCAGTGGAAACACGCTGTCAAGTTTGGTGATGGGGATAGTGAAGTTTTTACTGCTGAAGACTCAACAACACAAGATCCACTCAAAACAAGCTTGATAGCAAAGAAGACCAGTGTAATTGATGGGGCAGGTATTGTGGATGATGTTTTTGGCGCTCCAACTGTAATTCAGGATGGTGGCCTTTTTGAAGCTGCTCATGTTCTTTCACCTACTCTACCCCAGTATCATCCAACCCAGTTACTAGAACTTATGGATCTGGGTAAAGTTCGCCGAGCCAAAGCCATTCTATCACATTTAGTTAAATGTATTGCAGGAGAAGTTGCAATAGTTAAAGACACAGAAGCTGGAGAAGGAACTGGTCCTAAACGCCATCTTTCTCGTACCATTAGTGTAAGTGGTAGTACTGCAAAGGATACCATCACAGCTGGAAAAGATGGTACTCGAGACTACACAGAGATAGACTCAATTCCCCCACTGCCACTATATGCACTGCTTGCTGCAGATCAAGATGCCACTTATGTTTCTGAAGAAACGTCTAAAATACCTCAGGGCTCTGAAGATCATGCTAAGGGAAAAACAGAGGATCAGTACTCAGATCTGTTTCAGATTCAGCCTGTTACAACCGAAGACTTCATTGATTTTGAGCCTGAAAAGAGGGAGAGTAAATCCAAAGTTATTAATCTGTCACAGTACGGTCCAACTTACTTTGGCCGAGAACATGCTAGTGTCCTTTCAAGCCACCTGATGCACTCAAGTCTGCCAGGCCTCACTCGACTGGAGCAGATGTTCCTTGTAGCTTTGGCAGATACTGTGGCCATGACAAGCACTGAACTAGATGAGAACAGAGATAAGAATTACTCAGGTTAGTAACTGACGTATTATTGAATTAACTTTGTTGTTCTTCTGAGCAAAGGTAAACTTAGTCCTTGGGTATTTTGGGATAACAAAGCTAAAAGCTAGCATCAGTTATTCAGATTAGACGCAGTAAGAAAGAAAAACACTTAAATATAACTCTCTATATTTCATACATAATGAATAACTTGTATTTCAGGTTCTCAGTAAGTTTAGAAACATACATTCCTCACACACTGTGTATGATAAGTTGTATATATGCCTCTTGAAGTCATCTGCACGTTCAAAAGTCAGTATTTTATATTTCACAGGAAGAGACACCTTAGATGAATGTGGCTTACGGTATTTGTTGGCTATGCGCTTGCACACCTGCCTTCTGACATCACTCCCACCTCTGTATCGAGTTCAGCTGCTTCACCAAGGTAATTCTTAGTGTGAAGTATTGCTTTCATTTGATCTACTTGAGCTGACAGAATCTGGTTATGCTTGATTTATAATATTACAATATTTCTATTATCTGCATATTCATTTTAGATTATATCAATTCCATTAGGGCTCATATCTTGCAGAGGCTTAGTATAGGCTTCCCTACATGCACTGTGAATAGCAAAAAGATTATAATCTGAGTAATCGTTGTTGTGAAATACAGGGAAAAAAAGCATTTACCACCTAAACAGCAGACAGAAAGGTTTCTGTCCCAGAATGGGTCTGCCTCTGTGATAACAGAGTATTTTTTCTTCAGTCCTTCACCATAGAACTCTAGTACGTATATGAAGGGTACTGGAAAAGGATGGAAGAAGCACTAAGGAGAGGACATCCCTAGTGAGCAAAAAGATATTTCAGCTGTTCCTTTAGCAGCTCTGCTTCCTGTTGAGGGAAACAGTCTCTCTCAGATCTACCTAACTCTTGGGTTAGAGATCACACTTTGCATCTCTGACATATTCCATTTGCTTATTAAGAAGTCTTAATCTTCTGAATTTTATTATCTTATGTTATTGTTTAGGCCTATCTACTTGCCATTTTGCATGGGCTTTTCATTCTGAAGCTGAGGAGGAGTTGATCAATATGATTCCTGCTATCCAGAAGGGAGACCCACAATGGTCTGAGTTAAGAGCTATGGGTATCGGTTGGTGGGTCAGGAATATCAACACACTCCGAAGGTGCATTGAGAAGGTACTTCTTATTGCTTACAAGTTATAGTTATGTGCTGTTAGGTATGTCTTAACAGATACACATGGTGACTTGTGTATAGCAGATTCCTTTCTACTCCTGCCCAGCCGGAAACTACGTAACTAGTTTTTTCTGTGTCAACTGATAGTGGCAGTCCTGGTTTTACAAATTTTGTTATTTAATAGTAAGGTACAATACAATTGATCTAGGGAAAAAACATTCCTGAAGCACCTAATTTTCACCTCCACATATTTTACAGTATGTTAAAGATCATATTACGTACTCTTTTTTTTTTATGAAGAATCTTGTTTTCAGATATAGGAGACAATATATATCTGTAGATTGAACAGGGAATTATGCTTTGAGTTCAGTAGTGGGTTTTATTTAAGAAGTAAATATATCTAAAAATATTCATAAATACTATCTAAAGGGTCTTTTTGAAAATGTATTTTTTGTAATGGAGTAACAATAGAAATAAATGCAGGTTTTACTCTTCAGAAGAGTTGCAAAAATTACTGGTTTATATAAATATGCGCCTCTATTATGTAAAACCAAAATAACATCAAATCTCATTTGCACGCAGTTTTCTTATGGGAGGTTTAATAATGGATTAAATGCAATATATTTCTGAGATAATATCTAAAACTATTTCCCATAGCTACTAATGAGATTCAAATCCTTACTTTAATAAGAATTTCAGCTTGCTTGTAACTTGAAGTTTGATGGATTTGTATAATTAGTAGCTTTTGCTTTGAATTACAATAAGTTATGCAATCTCTGAAATGTCTGTGGAACAGAAGTACTTAATGGTTTACTAAATTTCTGAGTTATCTGTTGTAAAAATACATTTTTAAAAGTTACAAGGTACTCAAAGAATCCAGGACCAAAAGTTAATGATCCTAGTATTCTAAATCCAATGCAATTACATCTGAGTCTTATAGAAACACCAAACAGCGTTCATTAAAGAAATAGTTTCATTACCTCAAGTATATGTACGTAATGGATTGCAAGAGGAATTACACCTAATAGCACGAGTAACACTTTTGTAACACTTTTAAAGAAAATATTTTTATTCGCACATTTGTAATGTCCTTTGTGGTTGAGAGGGGTTAATATCTGCAGTAGTGCTGTTTTGCTGATTCTTAAGAACATTTACAGTGTAACGAGAGCTGTCACATGAGTAAAACAATCTGACAGAAATTACTGTTGCTTTGTAGATATAATACGGTCACCTAGACCATCCTCCCTGACAGAAAACATATGTTATTTAGCTAAAAGCAGCCTTGTATTTTCAGTAATAATAGTAGGTTTTGTTTACTACAGGTTGCAAAAGCTTCATTCCAGAGGAACAATGATGCCTTAGATGCTGCCCTTTTTTACCTTGCTATGAAGAAAAAGGCAGTGGTGTGGGGTCTGTTTAGGTGAGTTCTGCTCACTGTAAGTTTGATTAAATCTTAACTGAACCAGAAATGCAAAGCAGAACTCATTCAGGTTTAGAAATTAATTTAAAATGTTTTTCAAGTGAATGTATGCTAAGGTTATATAGTAAGTAGTTGTATATATTGCATTTATTTATGCAGGTCCCAACATGATGAAAAGATGACTGCCTTTTTCAGCCACAACTTCAGTGAAGATAGATGGCGCAAAGCTGCTTTAAAAAATGCTTTCGCTCTGTTGGGAAAACAACGCTTTGAACAATCAGCTGCATTTTTCTTGCTAGCAGGTTCACTGAAAGATGCTATTGAGGTATTGATTTTTGAGAAATTAAGTTTCGGTTTCTAATTTGACCTATATAACTGCATCCTTACAAGCTGTTCTCTGCTGATGTTTTCACAAATTGTGGCAGCACAAATGGTATGGTATGTCCACACACAACCACCTCATGCCCTGCAGATGTACCATTTACTTCCATGCTACTGTGAAAAGCAGCTTGGAAGCTGATCTGAAGGCCAGAATCATCGCTCAGATACATTAGTCCTCAGTAGAAGCACTCTTAGGCATATCAGTCATGACCCTTCTGGCAAAACTTTCTGTGTGATCAGCACAGTTAAGTTGTAGCACTCTGTTCAGCCTCCAGCTATTCTGCATGACCTGTTGTTACAACACTAAGTGAAAAAAGGTCAGAGTTCTCTTCTGAAGCAGTCCTAGGATCTCTTTTTAGTGGAGCTGTGATGTTGCCTGCTACAAGGGAGGCAAGAGCTGTAAGAAGGATCATAACCAAAGCAGTACCTCTCAGGAGAGAATTGGACTTAGAGAACCTTTACTGATGCTGCCTATCTATATACAGTGTGTTTGCCTTTACCTGAGAACGTAAAGGATTTTCCTCAGAGATCTAATTCTGCAGATGAGACAGTGTGAAGAATACCTTACCAGTGATGTATTAACACTAAACTTAGAAGTTATATTTATTATACTAAGAATAAAAATAAACATCTTTATCTCCTGCCATATTAATTTTTGACATGCTGGTGTACTGCTGCACTTACCATAATTCCTGAAATAGAAGAAAGTACACCTCTTTCCAAACATGGAGGAAAATATGTAACTTAAATACATATTACCACATTTTTGACCCAAAGATGAATATATACTTCAAAGAACAGGTATGATGAGAAAAAAAATATCTGTTATGTAAACATACGTTGCTATTCACTTCATTGTTATTTTAAAAAACTACCTTTCCCTCGTAAAGCAACCTTTTTCTCACCTCTTAACATAGGTTTGTCTTGAGAAAATGGAAGACATCCAGTTGGCTATGGTTATTGCTCGTTTATATGAATCAGAGTTTGAAACCTCTGTCACATACACCTCCATTCTCTATGAAAAGATTTTGGGTTGCTCTAAGGATGGAGCTGGATTCAGTTGTACTAAATTGCATTACGATCCATTTCTGAGAAGCATTGCATACTGGATAATGAAAGATTACACTAGAGCACTAGACACGTTATTGGAACAAACACCTAAAGATGATGATGAAAACCCAGGTAAGGGAAAAGCATTCATCTGATGGGACAAACTTACTGAGACAAAGTAGAGGAGAAATACTTTTTATGTATGTTTGCAGTCCCTTCTCCTGAGATGCCATTATGATGAAATCATTAATTGACTTATGTACTGGCCTGCTCAATTTCTACTTAAAAAAAAATTTAAAAAATTAAAACAAACAAACAAACAAACTTTTTCCAAGGACTTGTCTCCAACCCCCCAATACCAAGCTTAAGTCTGCTGTCAGATAAGCTCAGGGGGGCCTTCTTTGTTTGGTACTTCCCTACAATACCTCTCTACTACTGAATGCTGGCTAGTCTTTATTCCAATGGACTTAAATTCTCATTCTTGCTTCTAGGAATTAGCAGTGTTCTAGCAGGATTCCCTATCCTTTCTCTTCTAAGACTAATGTTAAGTGACAGGAGGCTACCTAGGTTTCTGTGATATATTCCCTCACTTGAGGAAATCTCTGCATGGCTGATCTTCTCTGCTTTTTTTAGGCTTAGCTGAGTGGACTATAACAGTGAGGCAAATGAGAGAATTTAGTATCTTTCTATTCATCCAGCTCATACCTTTAATCTTTTTGTGGGGAATAAGTAATCCTTTCATTTTGTTTTGGCAACTAGACCCACAACTCTATTTTTGTGTTTTGACAAATCTCTGTAATGCAGGAAATATTGCAAAACAGAGTAATACCATTTTAAAGCTGTTTTCAATAGATGTCATATCTGTTTAATTCCTTAGTTATCGTCAAGTCGTGCAATCCTGTGGTATTCAGTTTTTACAATTATCTTCGGACCCATCCTTTGCTCATCCGAAGATACTTCAGCTCACCAGAAGGGACTTTGGCCACCTTAGGTCTAAAAACTGAGAAAAGCTTTGTTGATAAAATTAATCTAATAGAAAGAAAACTATTCTTCACTACTGCAAATGCTCATTTTAAAGTTGGCTGCCCTGTACTAGCTCTTGAAGTCCTTTCCAAAATTCCAAAAGTAAGAAAAAAGTTTACTGTAGCTGCAGAGAAAGATTCATCTAGTCCTCCAATACAGGCTGGTGTTTCAGATTCCAGGACCCTAAGGGATGGTGTTGCAAGTGGTGATATAGACTGGTCAAAGCCAATTTCAACTTCCTTTGCTTTGGAGAATACTGTTGAATCTTCAGCACAATTTGACTGGAGTCAACCAGCAGTAAAATTTGATGATGAGCCCCTTACTCTTGATTGGGGTGAAGACAAAAATGGGTCAGATGAAGAGGACAAGGATGTTGGTATAATGATGAAAAACTCAGAAACTGATTCTAAGAATGGAGATGATGATGAGAGAACCTCAGACACCAACATCCCACAAACATCACATGGGGAAATTTCTGATGCAGGAGACACTGAGGTTGATGTTATTGCTGAACAACTGAAGTTCAGAGCCTGTTTGAAGATCCTTATGACTGAACTGAGGACTTTGGCTACAGGTTATGAAGTAGATGGAGGAAAGCTCAGATTTCAGCTGTACAACTGGCTTGAAAAAGAGATTGCTGCTATGCATGAAATATGCAACCATGATGCAGGGGGCAAAGACTATTGTAAAACATATACCAAAGTAAATGGGGATCTACTTGATCATGATGACATTATGGATAAGCCAGACATTGGTTCATATGAGCGGCACCAGATAGAACGACGTAGGTTACAAGCAAAACGAGAACACGCTGAAAGACGAAAGTGGTGGTTGCAGAAGAATCAAGCTCTTCTAAGAGTTTTTCTAAGTTATTGTAGTCTTCATGGGGCACAAGGTGGCGGTTTAGCATCTGTAAGAATGGAGTTGAAGTTCTTGCTGCAAGAGTCACAGCAGGTAAAAAATTCAACTAATTTCTGTTCACGAGTGTGAACAGTTTTGGACTGTCAGTTTTGTCAAATGCTGAAGTTTGTGCCTAGATAGATGCTGCTTATGTCTGCAAGTCATAATTTTAATTTTAATAATAATTTTAATGTTCTTGGAGAAAGAAGTATTTAAATGTGCTGCTTTTCACATCCTGATTATTTGGTTCTTAAGAATCTGTTATATGACATTGAGGATTAGGCTCCCTATAATTATGGAATATAAATGTTGCTGTTTATATTACAGCTGCAGCATATATGTGTATTCTAATTAAATTATAAATTTGATCACAATATTCTGGGTACCTATATAATAAATTAAATTCACAGTTGCTGAAATACAACAAAATCTCATTCCCTACACCTCTGCAAGTCATGCAAGGGAGCTACAAGGAATGGGATCGTGGCTGCAAGACTCAATAAATAATACCAAGTCAGATAGAGTGGTGGTCCCTTTTAATATATTATGGGATTTTCTACATTTATTTCTTACAAAATGAGATCTTATCCAGAAAATGTTAATGACTAACCTGAGCTGCAGCAGATAATCTGATAGTGGACAAGTTGTTTAACTTGCTCTAGTCCTAGATTTCTCACATTTCAAATAGGAGCAGTAAACAAAAGTTTTGGTGGTACTAGGCTTAGCACATACTTTTAAGAATTAAAAAAATATATATATTTCTGTTCATTTCCACTTCAGAAATCCAGATTAGTCCAAATTTTACTTTTGTTATTAAACTCAGTCCAGTGAGTATTATGTCAATTTATACTACTGCAAGTGCATTTTAGTTAGTGTTTCTTAATAGAAAATCCCAACGCTTCCTAATGAATTACATAAAAATACCCGTCCTGCACTAAATCAAAAAGTGTTCCCACAAACTTGGCTATCAGGTCTGATTTGAATTGTTATAGTAAATGAGAACTTACTTTTGACATCAGTCATGGTAAAATCTTGTCCATACTGAGTAGACAGCAGTGGAAGAGGATAAATAACCCTGGAAAAAAATTACAATGTTAAATTACCGTTTTTTAATTTTTTTTTTCCCAAAGCAATAATTTTAAATACAATCTTTTCTTTTAAACAGGAAACTACTGTAAAACAACTTCAGTCTCCACTTCCATTACCCACAACGCTACCGTTGCTTTCTGCAAGCATAGCATCCACAAAAACTGTGATAGCTAACCCTGTTCTGTATTTAAACAACCACATCCATGATATTCTTTACACTATTGTGCAGATGAAATCACCGCCACATCCTAATATTGAAGATGTCAAGGTAATGCAAAGCTTTCAGGAAATGCTAAAATGGGGAGTGAGCATGTGAAAAATAAAATGTGGTGTTTGACTTAACTTTTCAACGCTTACCCTTTCACAATACTGACCTTCTCCCTTAAATCTGGTGAACTGAAAATGCTAGTTAACCACTTGCTTTCTGACATCTTTTTGAATCTGGTTTGTTCCCTTTCATCCAAATTCTAGTAATTCTCAGGAAACTATTCTAAATGTGAATGTTCACTAAAACACTGAATTCTTGGTTCTTTGAACAACATGATCATGTATGTTAACCAATTATTATCATTCTGGTCAAATCCTGTAGGGAGATTAGTGAAAGTAGAAAAGGGAGACTGTAAGTTATGTTATAACCTTCTATTAATATAGATATTATGAACCTTAATCTGGTGCGAATTTCCTCAAGTATATTGGTTTTTAAGGAATTGTGGTGAATTACTTTATCTGATTTCATACTCAGGGTGAATAAATTCTGTTCAGATTTGGTAAATAGAGGGGGGGAAAAAGCCAAAGATCCTGAGACTATGGCACAGTTAATTAGTAAGAAGCTATATCAGTATTTTGTACATTTAGATCAGTATTCCTAATCATTAAATTAATTTGAATTTCTATTGACTAAACGAAAGTAGGGAGAAAATAGAAAACTGAGTTGTCCCACTGCAATGCAGTTAAGTTTCTAAAACTGTAACCCAAGCTTATTTACATCTCATTTTCTGTCTTATATCAGTTGACTCCTTTTCAATCCTGCATTACACTACAGCAAGCATCTTTCTTACTCTAAAAACTCATACTTCACGTATATTTTCTTTTAAAAAAGAATTCAGAAAGAGCTGAGACCTCCTAACTGCAAAACAACTTTTGAGATAATTCACAGCTTTAATCTAAAGTCTAGAATTTGATTAAATGGAAAGATAGTAGGAAAAGATGGAAATTAACACAGGGTGGGTTTAAAAAAGTTTACATCTTTAACAGTTTGACAGTACCATTTTCTTCACACTGTGGATTTCATCGGACTTTCCAAGAAATCCTTGCATTTCTTCTGTTTAAGAACTAGAGTATTTCTATTGCATTGTGAGGCAATAACGGAGTTTTATTCTTCTTACTTCTGGAGACTTTTGGAAATTTATAAGCACATAACTGAGGTAAAAAAGATATTGTAGATAAAACAATCATACTGTGATTACACAAACTTTTGTATTTTATGCATAATGAGCAACTACTACGACATTGAACTGCGATGTTATATAATACGGCTTCCAGGAACCATTCTATCAAATTCATTATCATAACAGGACATACTTAATCACTCCTTCAGTATTCTCATTCATTGAGTCAGTTCTATTTTAGAATAAAGTTAATTAAATTGATATAATATTAGGAGGTTTTGGCTGCAACCAAATGATCTTGAACAGTTGTGATTTTCAAAGTACTGTATTGTAAACTTCAAGTAACATTCATTTACTGTTTCCTGCACTTGATTTAAAACTAAGACAATCCCGCATAACACATTTCCAGTGCTGTTTAGAAAGAATTGTAGTTTTCTCACGTTTTATACAAGACTTATTGGCTCTTTTTATTTTAGGTGTACACACTTCATTCTTTAGCTGCTTCACTTTCTGCATCTATTTATCAAGCACTCTGTGACAGCCACAGCTACAGGTAAAAATGGAAGTTTTCTTACAGTCCTACGTTTGGAGTACTTTGTGTATCCAAAATGGAAATTCTTCATGCATCTAAAAAAGGGATTAAGTAACTGTATGGGTATAGATACTTACACAGTTTACACATTGCTAGTGTTGATATGTCAGATCAGTTTTACACAGATAAAATTACAACAATCATTCAGATTTTTTTCAATAAATAATAGGAAAATCTGGTGTCACTCTTACTTGAGAAGCTTCTGAAAAATACTTGACTGCTGTTTTCCACAGCACATTCGATGTTGAACAGGGGTGCAGAGCAAACACTTGAGCCTAACTGAAGTCAGGTTTCAGGCAGCTTTTATTTCAAACTGGAATTGGAAGAGAATGCCCTAAAAAGATTTTTTAAAATTCTTCAGAACAAATATATTAAAATTTTTGAAAAATACTTTTTCATATCTGGAGCTACACACATAACATATTAAAATTGATATTGCCACATGGAAACATTTCAAGTTTCAATAAAAAAAATTATTTTGTACACCATGAAATTATAAAATTCTTGACTTACTCCTATAGAATTTTAAATGTTGCATTTTCTGATTAAAATGAGATGCATGTATATATACACTGTACTTTATTGCAAAAATATTCTAAAATACTTTCTCATCAGAAAAAAAATAATTTTTATTTAGCAGTCAAACAGAAGCGAATCAGTTTACAGGGATGGTTTATCAAGGACTGCTTTTGAGTGATCGACGCAGACTGAGGACAGAAAGTATTGAAGAGCATGCAACTCCAAACTCAGCTCCTGCTCAGTGGCCTGGTGAGACAAAAATACTCTTACTATTAGCACCACTAGACCAGCTCCACATTTTAAAATTATTTCACTGTCCTGTGATTCGATGGATGAAATGATGGTTAATCATTTCTGATTTAGGTCTCAAATTAATAACAGCTTTAACTTTTTCACCCATCAAAACAAATAAAAATAAACTTTCTATGCAGTAAACATCTTGCTTGAAGAAGAGACCATGATCTTTAGGATAAACTCAGTAAGCTGATTATTGGTCATCCTAAAATGTTTCCCTTCAGTCTGCCTCACCCCCTAGCAAAGCTATTTCTTCAGTACTATCTTACATCTATGCTTTACTTGGTATAGCTGTCAAAACAACTACTCCCAATGTACAAGCATAAATGTAGTCTTTTGAGGTCAGCTGTGGAAACAGTGCAGGAATTTCATAGGCAAGCTGAACGGCCCATAGTATTTGCAGGGAGGGGCAACACAGACGCCCCAGACCCAAGAAGGCTTTTTAAAGTTTTGGTCTTTATGATTTTAAGAAAAATATTAATAGTATGTTTCATCTGAATAAAAGTATCATGTGGCTATCAGTATATGTTTAACATAAAATGTAGAAGTGAAACATTTCCTTTTTTTATACTTGCACTCCTACTCATTTAACTTAGAACTTCTCTTTTCCCTTTGCAGGTGTGAGTTCACTTATAAATCTCTTAAGTTCAGCTCAGGATGAAGATCAACCAAAGTTAAACATCCTACTTTGTGAAGCTGTTGTAGCTGTCTACCTGAGTCTCCTTATACATGCCCTTGCAACCAATTCATGTAATGAATTATTCCGACTAGCAGCCCATCCTTTGAACAGTCGAATGTGGGCTGCTGTTTTTGGTGGAGGAGTAAAACTTCTTGTAAAACCTCGAAGACAGTCAGAAAATATTCCAGGTACTTTGTTCTCTAAAGGTCATACTGATGTTTTGCATTTTATACCTTTTGGTAACTTAGTAGGAGATAATTCATTCCTTTTAAAGACAAAAAACAAGCAAGCAGAATTTAAGTATCTACTGGCAAGAGAACTTATGTTAATTAAAAAGCAGAAAAAATATTAGTCTTGCAGTTGTCTTTTGTAATGGCACCCAGCACATTTTGAAGTTGCCATAAAAAGTGCACAGTTATATTAATAATATTACTGTTAGATGCTTACTTATAATACTTTTCAGAACTTTCAGTCATTATCTTTTAGTGAAAAAAACAAATTGTATAAATCAGTGTCAATAGCTATGGTTTTCTGAATGTGAGGTGAGTGTTACTGTTTAATGACTGCAGTAACTTGGAAATACTATTTCTGAAACCAGTTTCTATTGCAAGATATTATTTCACCTTGCATAAGACCACAAGTAAGAAACATCAACTTCATCTGGCAGAAAAATAGTCCATGCATATGTAAGCTCCAACTAAAACCAGGAATTTTGCAAAGACAGATGAGCATGTCTTGATACACTGCCTGAGGAAAAGCAGAAGTGGAGATTGAATTCAGGCTCTGGAGACAAAGGCAAATACAACCATTTGTCATAGACTTCGCACTGCAACAATACTGAAAAATGCTATCACATGGAATTTTAAAACAACAATAGGCTTGAAAGTTACGCAAAAATTAGATGTTCCATATCTGAAATATAAACCAGAACAGTAATGAGGCAATGTGCCATTATAAGTATGCGCAACAGATACTTGTCATTCATGGAATAACAAACTCATTTAGGCCAGTTATTCATATTAACATCTTGTGAAAATAACTTACATACAGTCATGTCTTCATTTGAGATGTATTTTGTTTTCCTTTAACCTACAAGCTGCTACAGCTTCTGATGTTTCAGAGGATGGTAATGAAGGTTTGTAAAGTCTTGCAGTGTAGATGAATGTTAGTAGTGGCTTTTTAAAAAAAAAAAAGTTTTAAAATATCTAGTTCCTTTATAATAAAGTAAGTGTGATTTCAATGTTGCCTGGCTGATAACACTTTGAAAAACAAACTCTACATTAATATTTTGATAAATATTAAGACATTTTAAATCATAAAACTTCAAAAATGGATTTTAGTTTTCAAAAGCCTGACTCTATTCAAATTTGCTTTGTTATGTTAAGAATTCCTTGCCTTATATTTTGTATAACTGATGTTACTTGTGCAGTTTACAGTTTAGTGAAATTTTATATATCACTTTTGTTTCTCAACAAAATTTCTTCATTTTTTTCTTGAGAAATTTTTCATCTATAAGCTTTTTACTTAAAAGCTACATCTTCTGAGAACTTAATCCAGATAATAAAATGTATTTCTCATGATATATCCAATGAATAAATGCCACAGTTACTGTATTTATCATAAGTGAACTTTCTGTATGATTACACTTACTTTATTTAGGCTGGCTTTGATTTCTGAATCAGTAGAAATTAGTACAAATAACAATGGGTTTAGTTGCTTCAATTATAAAATACAGCCATTTCTAAAGATTCAATCTTAATATCGGCTTTTCAAATCACCTGAATTTAGCACCACCTCTTCCATCAGAAGAAATGGATAAACATCGCCGTCGGTTTAATATGAGAATGCTAGTGCCAGGAAGACCAGTAAAAGATAGTACTGTACCTCCACCTGTACCTGCAGAAAGACCCTCTTACAAAGAAAAGTTTATCCCTCCAGAACTCAGCATGTGGGACTATTTTATGGCAAAGGTAATTTAAAATGGAAAATATAAGTTACAGTTCATAAAAGCATATTTATTCTCTGTTTAAGTTATAAAGGACAAAAATAACGTGAAAATTTTGAGTGCTCATCATAGTAAACCACAGAATATTATCCTCATAATAAAAGATAAAGAGCCTACAAGTCTATTACTTAACTTTTCAAAACACGTCTCTTGCCAGTAAGAGAGATTAACACTCTTCCCCCTTCTACTTCCTTATGTTTAAGGGAAACTTATTTATGGGTTAAGCTGTTGTCATTTAAACTCTACAACAGTTATTAACTAAAGAGTTGAATATTAAGAGATCAGAAAATTGCTTTTATTTTGCATTGCAGCCATTTCTTCCTTTATCAGACAGTGGTGTTATATATGATTCTGACGAAAGCATTCACAGTGATGAGGAAGAGGATGATGCTTTCCTTTCTGAGGTACAGATCCAGGAACACAAAGATGCCAATTCTTACAGGTTAGCAGAAACTGCCATGATTTTAGAATGATTCTGTTGTGTGCTTACCTTTGCTTCCATATCAAAGAAAATACAGGGCCTCTGCACAGTCCAGCTTAGGTCAAATAATTTAGGTACTATGGACAGATTTATTTGTGGCAATGGGTTTACAGAAGTGACACATTCTCATCACAGTAACAGTTACCCATTTACTTGCCTTAAAAGAAGTGGTTAGGAAGTCAAAGCTGTGTGGTTTCCATTTCTGGGGGAGGGGAAAAAACAAATTTAAAACACCCTATCTTCATTTTTAAGACACAAAGAACATGAGGTTACACAATACCAGCTGTTTTAGACTACCAGTTCAAGAGTGATCTTTAGTTTTTGAATGAGGGGCAGATTAAATAGAACACTTAAAAAGACAAAATGCTGCAAGATAAAATGAAATAAAGTGGATGACCTCAGCATTACAATAATGGAGAAAAGCGGTAGCTCTCATGTGTTCTTCAGGTCTCTCGTTAATCCCTACAGCTCTACTGTATAGGATTTGTATCTTTAATATCTGTGAGACTCTTTCAGTGTGAAAGCTTCTGCTGTGAACACCAAACTCAAGTAATGTTTTGACTGTATTCATTGTGATTTCATAGAGAATTTCAGGAGGTGTTTAAGGGGGCTGAAACTTAATTCTCAGTCTTGCAGAGGCTCACGCATACACATTCTTTTATTTGGGGGAAGAACGCAATAATCTGGGGATTGTAAAAAAGAGAAGGGGGATACTCTGTTACAGTGAGGTGCCTTAATAGCACCCATATGTTGTATAGTTGATATATAAGTAGCTTTATGTATCAGGTAAACCTCAGTGAACCATCTACACTGTTTCTCTAATCTGTGTATTTGGTAGAAGGAGAAGAATATTCTGCAGATAACTGTGTTAATGTTTTAACAAAACTAAATCTGTTCTTTTTATACAGCTGGGCTCTTCTGCATCTGACAATGGTAAAATTAGTTCTGCACAATATTAAGAACTTCTTTCCCATTGCTGGTCTGGAATTCTCTGGTATGTTATTCTGCTTTACATTTTAGTTTTCTATATAAGTGGCTTTCTGTCAGACTTTGCTTTTTAATTTTTAAATTTAAATAATTTAATACATATTTTTTTATAATTGCCAACACGTACATTTCCTTTCAATAATTTTTTTGGGGGGGATGATTGCATTAGTCTGGTTTTTTATACACACTGTAACTTAAATGATTTTCTTTTTCCCTCTAAGCCTTGCTTTTTTAATATTGCTGTTTAGATCTGCCTGTAACATCACCACTGGGCATTGCTGTAATAAAAAATTTGGAACACTGGGAACAGATTCTTCAAGACAGAATGGACCAATTTGAAG